TCACAGTGATTCCCTTCATACTTCCCAGATCCTCTCCAAAAACAGCAGCATGTTTCCTTAGTATAGAGGTGTGAAAGTGAAATGAATTATATTAAAGAAATAGAATGAATTAAAGAATGCTGTATGTACCTTTAAGTAGAAATGAGAAATGCTGCAAGCCAGGGGGGCAGGAAAGCAGACATTAACTGCTTAACTTGCCACTTAAGGGCAATTGGTGAAGCATTAGCCTTAGATCGATAAGAGTTAATAAAGAAGCAGAATATGCATATTGTGCCCTATGCAAATTTTACAATTTTGCTCTCTCTGTCCCTTTGTTTAGTTCGCACCCTTTTATCTGTATAAATAAGACTGTTTGAATCTTGCATGGGGGCTCACATTATCTGAATGTATTAGCAGAGCGCTGTGCTAATAAAACAGAGTGGTCTGACAAACTAGGAGTCCTGAGTCTAACTTTGACAACTATATTTCTCTAATTTGCTTATGAAAAAGCTATGCTTTTGACACAGCCCCACACAAAAATCAAGATGTCATGTCATGTTACAATAAGTCTGCATAAGCCCCCACTGTAATCCAGAGCAACATACAACCTCTGATATGCAGATAAGTCAAGTCTCATAAGCATTTGCACATTCCCATTTGACTACTGCTGTTGTGTGTTCTAAACTATGCTATGTAAACAAAGATGCCCTCAAGGCTTTGACAGTTTCATAAGACAGTATTTGAGTAAAGTGTCCAACTTTTATTTTGCAGTCCTGCAATATTTACATTCATGTACAAAACACTATTTGGTACAAACTTCATGTGCAGTATAAAATGAACTGTTCATGGTTTTATATGAATTGAAATGTAAGACCAGTGATACTCTGCAATAACTTCTTCAGGTAAGTCTTGGTTGGGTTGTGGGTTTCCAATTGTCACCAGGGTAAATATCAAAATAACTTCTGTCCTATTTACAAAGTTCTATTGTTCTCCTTTTGCACAGTGTTAATGATCCTTCTTCAAGCAGTTAAAGGCTCACCCTTATTCCATTCTGAAATGCTTGGTCAGTGCCTATAGTCACAAAGGGGAGCAGTACTTCCTTCCAGCATGAAGGGTTCTTATACTGTACCATGTATCAGGGGGTATATTGTACCATGACACACAGCTGCAGAAATTCAAGACTTCTCTGATGTTAAAACTGAGTCAAAGGCTGTTGATAACACTTTGCAAATAGCTTGTGCTTGTTCCTGCATTGTGTAACACAATAAAAATCAGTTAATCATACTCAAAAGCATAATATATTGACAGTTACATTTTCACTAGCATTTACCTAAGTGCTCTGGCTATTACATGATGTAGTATTTCAGCAAAAACTCCCATCTATTAAAATTCAAGCAGAACACGATCTACATAATGTTTTCAGCGCTTATACAGAATGAAACAGGAGAGCTGTGTGTGAAATTCTATTGTTTGCAATCATGTCTGCAGACATCTGTTTTAAATTAACTTTGGTGTGAAAAAAAAATACAGAATTTTTAGTCTATTATCTGTTTGTAGGGTGTAACCAGCATCTTAAAGTTACTCCACTTGCTCCCTTATGCCTTTGCCAAACTATCTGAAGAGTTGGTAGCATGGAGACTAGAAAGCATATACTACCATGATACTCTAGCACTATCTCATCTCCTGCTTTCCTTAATATACCACAGGAGGCGATCAGCTCCTCCAATGGTAATATAATGCCTGACTGTAGCCTGAATGCATAGTGCCACTGATATGATTGCTCTGTTCCTCCAGCAGGGCTAACATGGAGAGGGAAAGAGGCTGTTGTATTTGCATGTACAAAATGGAGCGCTCTCTAACCGCTATCTTCACCAGTGGTCAGCGTAGTAGCACAACAGATTGGGCGTCATCTGCTACAATATAATTGCTTCACTGATTTAAATAGGTTTTTGGCTAGAAGTTCCTCATGTTATAGTCAACATTTTACCAGTTGAAGACAACTGGGCACAACTCCCTTTGTTGCCAGTACATCCTTTTTTACTTATTTTTAGAAAGTACAACTATTAGCCATAAGGATGGGAGAATAGCATATTCCAAGGGAAACTACCTAAAGAACTAAGGAAAAGGCTGGTCACATGATACCTTTGTAATTTTAGAGCAGTAAAGGTAGTGATTCTCAAACAAAGTTAATCCAGTGCATTCTGTGATTTTTCCCCTTAAATGTGGAGACATTTATTCCCTGTGAAACCAGTTAACCCTTCAGCTGCCAGAAGGCTGTGATTATGCAAGAGGCGCTACACCTGGGCTGTCACCACTGGGTTTCTGTGCTGTTAAAAATACCATGTTCTAAGTATGAAGCTTGAAGGTAATGAAGTTAGACATCAGAATGTATTGGTACCTAAATTAATAACCGTAAACATGAATCCTTACCAGACTATTACACTGATACACCCAGAGACTGTATTCTTCATAACTTGCATCTGTCGTCTTCAAAGCCAATAAACTCTTTCCTGCTCCCAGACCATCATCGTAGCAGACCATCCGCACAATTAAATACAGAGCATGTCTATGTAAAACATCCTACAACCATATGGCAAATTAAAGTTATTCTAAAACTGGGCACAGACATTGAAATTTTCTGCATGCTTTCACTACGACACAAGTTGCCTTTTACAAAATCCTTAGTATTCTTTAGAACGGAATGGTCAGTCTCTCACTCTGTGCACTTGTTTACAGAAGACAAACCCTCCCATTGTCCCTGGTAACATGTCCTTAGATTACCCCCATAACATTTTGAATCTTTAAATGGGGGCAATAGGTAAAGATTAAAAACAACAAATAACCAAACTAGTAGCAGTTTAGCACAGGACCAAGATACAATGCACAAATTTGCCGGGGCGGGAGGGTGGGGAGGGTGGAAGGGGGAATATCTTGTATCCCTCTGCTGTTTGTCAGTACATTCTTTTAGTTAAATTTGAAGCTGTTCAGGACAGGGAAAATGTCCCTATCTATCTCATTCTTACATATCTAAGAACATTTTTGGTTGCTATAAATGATGATGGAGCTTTAGACTCAGACTATTAAACTAGAAGAGTTTTTAGAATAAATTAAGAATCTATCTCTGCATTGTCTACATTGTAGCTGGATCTTTATGAAGGAGTTATAGCTGCTAAGTGGTCTAAATAAAATACAAATTGATGTCAAAGGGTGACGTTCAGAGGCCAGAATTTGTCTAAAGAGTATGGAATGCAATATCACAGAACGAGCCAGCGCAAGCTAGCTTAATCATGGATGTCTGTCGGCTCGTCTCATGCTTTCAGGCTGAAGCCAGCAGAGGGATGGATAAAAGACTTTAAAAGTAGACAGAGATAAGTCTGTCTATGTACTTTCAACAAAGGTGACAAAGGCTTGAGGCCTGGAGTAGACATGTGCTCTTGTTTAGGGGCTGAAAGATGGGATTTATGAGGGTGGAAGACCATCCCCCCCTTCCGTACCGCCTTATCCACTGAAGACTAAGACAGACCCTAGTGGGGGGAGAGAAAGGAATCGAATTTATAATCCAGAAAATATTGAATCTGATGGATCAGTCTTGGTCATCATGGTTAGAGACTTTTACCAGAGGGCAAGAGAACCACCACCAGGATAAAAATTACTAAACCCAGGGAAGGTTTTTTGTTTGGGATTCTCACTTGCCCCTGAAGGAGAAGACTCTTGCTTTGGCTGGAGGACCAAGAACCCCAAGTCACCCATGCATGAGGAGGAGAGACAGACTACATTCCGAAGAGAAGATCTGAGGCAGTTTTGCTAGAAAGGCAAGAACCTCCTGTCCCTCTGTTTCAGGTTAAAAACAAAAACTGGAGTCTTACTCTGAGATCAGAAAATCCGAAGTTTTGAAATGGAAAATAATTACTGGGTCATCCAGTGTCCTTTAACTGCAAACTCATCAGGGCACTGATAAATGCCTATTCCAGAGTTGCCCACCATCCAACTTCCACCAAATAAAGCCCTTTAAGAAAAGACACACTTACATACTGATCAGATGTTGAGACTTTAATACCGTACTTGGAAACTCCCATAATGAACTCTTCTTCAGCTGGAACAAAAGGTAACTTTCCGTCTTGCTTTGAAGGGAAACAAAAAAAAAGTGTTAAGTGTACAGAGAAGGGCATAAATAGAAATAGAGATATCCTAGCTCCTAGAACTGGAAGGGACCTGGAAAGGTCATTGAGTCCAGCCCCTGCCTTCACTAGCAGGACCAAGTACTGATTTTGCCCCAGATCCCTAAGTGGTCCCCCTCAAGGATTGAACTCACAACCCTGGGTTTAGCAGGCCAATGCTCAAACCACTGAGCTATCCCTCCCCCCATGAAGATAGTCATTACAAAACCTGCATTTTCCCTGTTCTATTTTTATTTCAGACTACTGGAATATTACCATTAATAGGGCTGTTCCCCACAAAGCGGTTTTCTTCTTTAAACACTGCGTTTCTTTTAGTTATTCAGGATTGGGAAGGGAACTTTTTATGGAGAATGAGGTTTCTTACAGTCCCTTCCTTTGTGTTTGTTCTATGGCCCAGCTACACCAGCAGTGTACTGTTTCAGGGACAAACAGTGCAGGCAGAGGAATGTTGATAGTTGCTACATCTTGGTGCACTGATGCCGCCATTGGCAATGCTTGTGCAACATTAGGAACACTTTTGTATATGGCTATGAGTGCTACCAGCAGGTATGCTATACTTGCAATATCTAATTTCTATAATACAAACTGGCATTTAGGAATTCAGGTATTGAGCTTGCTAAGGAACCCTGACCATTTTTTTAATAAAAGCTTTTTTGTTTTTATTCCTTTTGACACTACAAAGATCAGCACAGCTCTGAGAGTGAGCTAGATTCTAGCTTAACACAGTGGAATTATAAATGGCCATGAGTGGTCAGGCTCTCACTTTTATTCCTCCACTGAAAATTTCCTCTCTGTTGTTGAGAAATGTTGGCATAAGTAGTCTTCTTTCATGGATACTGCCACAAGGGCTGGAGACAGACTCTCTGGAATTGTAGCTTTCTGCCACCAGCAAACCCCTGATGATATTTGTTCAATCATGCCTCAGGCTTCTGTGTCAACAACACTGCTTCCTGCAGTAGCAATTTGTTTTTCTGAAGTATACCCTTCAAATACTAACCAGGAGGTAGCTTGGCGGCAGTTGAGCTCTCAGCATGAAGGGTGCATGCTTTAATACAACAGAGGGTCCTGTGGCACCTTTAAGACTAACAGAAGTATTGGGAGCATAAGCTCTCGTGGGTAAGAACCTCACTTCTGAAGAAGTGAGGTTCTTACCCACGAGAGCTTATGCTCCCAATACTTCTCTTAAAGGTGCCACAGGACCCTCTGTTGCTTTTTTACAGATTCAGACTAACACGGCTACCCCTCTGATGCTTTAATACAGTAAATTATTTGTACAGTTTAAGGCACTTCAGAAGTAAGACATCTATCTGATTATATGATAAATACACAGTAGGAAGAAACATATTGGTTTAAAATGTTTTGATGTATTTGTATATGTTTTGTCTCTCATTATAAAGACTTACCTGTGCCACATCTATGAAATTTATCAAGTCCAATGGCCCCTCCAGACTCTTGCTCTCATCAAGTTTCAATTTTTCAATGGCACCAACATATTTAACTCTAAATTCTGCACAGGTATCTGAATTACTGTTGCTTTGTCCTATAACAAAAAAACTGTAAATTCAAAGAACTGTTCTACTTAAGCAGTAACGTCTATTGTTCCTTTGGTGTTGGAAAGTCTCTTTGGTCTTTTTTAATCTATTAATTTTGAATAATCTTTTGCTCCCTTGGCTCAAACACTGGATCTCCCCACTGAAACAATTATGAAACAAGAGGGTAGCAAAGATACCTAACACTCTTGTGTTATTTGGTTCATAGTATACTAACCTCATCTTTCCTTGACTTCTGATGGAATGATTCTTTACAATAGACTCATGTCATCATATTTTGCTCTGTACCAAAGACCATTCTGTGGTAGCACACTAAAGTATGGTCTACTCTAACAGAAAAGTTGGGCAACTTAAACCCAATTTTTTTTTTAAATGTACAAGAGCTAACCATAGCTTACAAAACAAGAATTGTTGTTTGGATTTATACATCCCCCAGCCATGTTGAGACCCAAGAGTGGAGCATTTCGCTGGTACACACAAGAATTATAAAGTGAAACCAATTGCAGTGAAAGTCTCTGGCAGCAGGGAGCTGCAGAAGCTTTTCCCTGCTGCCTTCTCTCTGCCAGAGCCTTTCACTGACAGATATAGTTACACACTGCAGTGTGGACACAGCCAGCTTTTTACTGGGGCATATGTAGACGCAGACTCTGGGGAATACATTTGACACAGAATTACTATTTTGCCTTCAGAGAGGTGAATGTTCTTTTTGGAATTGTAGTATCATGTTAAACATTTTGTGAATACAGGCACTAAGTATTTCCACTTTCTTCATTATATGCATAATCACTGAAACACAATGAGAAGCCAGTTCAATGGGCTGAGGGCTTTATCCAAAGCCCAGTAAGTCTATGGAAATGCTCTTAGACCTCATAGGGCTTTGGATCTAAGCTGAAACTTCTTTCCTCTCAACAACACATCCCTGGTAGCATGCATACATACCTGTGACCAAGTGCTAGGCCAGAAAGGCTGAGTCAGCACTTTGTTCACAGCAGCTCCAATCAAGCAAGGCTGAATGGAGCTGACTATACAGAGCTGTATCTAATTTGTGTGTGGGGCAGGGCAGAAAGGCTAATTAAGCCATTAGCCAGAGCCCACAAAAAGGCACAGGACTAGGGTGACCAGACAGCATGTGTGAACAATCGGGACAGGGGGCGGCGATAATAGGCACCTATATAAGACAAAGCCCCAAATATCAGGACTGTCCCTATAAAATCGGGACATCTGGTCACCCTACACTGGACGGAAATGGAAAGGGGGAAGCAGGCAGTAAGGGGAGAGAGAGATTGCTTTCCTCTGCTTGTTATAGGAGCTGTATATGTTATGAAGCTGGTGGGACTCCATTTGTAAATAAACTGCACAAGGTGTTGGACCAGCACAAGGGTCTCTGAGTAGTTTGTAGATCAGAACAGAGGCAGGAACCACGAGGCTCTGCTACAATACCCTGTTGTTTCAAACCAATCCCTACCATTGCACCTGTTTCCTTCCCCTCCCCTGCCTTCCATAGTCCTGCTACACCTCCCTCTGAACTTCTGTATACCTTCTTGGCATTTCTAGTCCCAAAGATCACTTTCTATTTTATACTACAGTAGCTCATGTGCTAATAAGTGGGCCATCTAATAGGTTTGCCCTCAACTGACTACATGTAAATGTGTAAAGCATCAGTCACACAATGTGAACTTACATTTTCTCACCTCTTCCCTTCTCCCAACTCTTGCACACAATCACACATTTTATAAAATTAATCCATCTTCAAGCAAGTCTGTCTCAGCATTGGTTACATACCTGAACTTTTAGTGGAGTCTGTATCTAGACTAGCGACAGTACTAGACCTGGAAAGTCCACCAAGACTAGAGTCAACAGACTAGTTATAAGGGGAAAAAAATAAAATAAAAATGTCAGTTAATTATTGAAAATGTTAATTTATCTTCAGATTTTCTGCTCCTACATACTTCATTATAATCTTCTAACTTTTACGGTCTGGCGCTATTTGAAACATGACCAAAAAAAGTCATACTTCTCCAAAGGATTAATATAATAAAACTTGAAAGAGTATCAGTCTGACTTATTTACACCAATGTAAACTGTACAAGGGTCTCTCAAAAGCTTTCAAACGTTTTTGAAACAGGGAGAGGAGAGATGGAAGAAAGGGCAGAGAAAATGAACTTTAAAAAGTTATGTCCACTGTCTCTTTCCTTACATTGAATATCTTAACCTTTAGGAAACTGACAAGTGCATGTTTCTCACTAATATTTGATATAACATGACCTTTTTGCAATGAGATTTACATTAAAAAATGCCAACCATGTCAGAAACCCTACAAGATTTAAGTCATCATTCACCAGCTATCTGACAGAATGTACCTATTAGCTCAGAGGACTTACGCTTTAAGATAGGAAAGAAATATTTTAGAAATATTGTATAAAACAAAGAGAAGTTTTTTTGATTTGGCTAGCTTGTTCTGAAGAATCAAGCTCATTCTCACTTTTAACGGCTAGCTTAGAGGTTCTTGAAAGATTCATAGATTATAAGGCCAGAAGGAACCACTGTGATCATCTAAAATGACCACCTGTGTAATACAGGCTATGGAAATTCTCCCAAATAATTCCTGTTTGAACTAGAGTGTTTCCTTTATAAAAACATTCAATCTTGATTTTAAAACTGCCAGTGTTTGAAAATCTATAATCCTGGTAAATTGTTCCAATAGCTAATTACCCTCACTATTAAGAATTTGTACATTTTCCCTAGTCTGACTTTGTCTAGATTCAACTTCCACCCACTGGATCTTGTTATATCTTGGTCGACTAGATTGAAGAGCCCATTATCAAATTTTTGTTCACAAAAACAAAATGCACAAACAGTGATCAGATCAACCCTTGACTTTCTCTCTTTGTTAAGTTAAATAGACTGAGCTCCTTGAGTCTTTCACTATGACATGTTTTCCAATCCTTAGTCATTCTCATGGCTCTCCTCTGAACCTTAGTAACTAATACTTCAACATTACAAAAAGCACTAAGTATATTTTTTAGTACAACTTCTTTGTCATGTTCTGTTGGTGTTGAAGTAGTCTCTAAGTAGACTCCTAACTCAACATCAATGGGATTTATGCTTGTATGATGGAAGGACAGCATGCTACTTACAACTGAAAACTAATTCTGATATTGTTTGATTTCACAGACAAAAAAAAGCAAACGAGATGTTTATTTCCGCAAACATCATGATCATATTAAAGACTCTATTAAACCAGCCATAGCAAGGCAGTCATAAACTTACTATTTATTAAGCATCAGTGTGCTTGATGCTGTACATGACATATAAAGATGCAGTCCAAACTCTGAGGGACTTACAATCTAAAATCCCCTTAATTAGTCATTTGACTTGGAATGTTACTTTATTGGTCAAAAAAGGTCAAATATTTCATAAAAGAAATTCAGATTAACTCTGACAATCGAAATGACTTTTCTTCTTTAGAATGCAAATCTCCCTAAAACTAATTTAATCTATCACCCAAATTTACAACTATTATTAAAAGGGCAACATAAGTTCAACATGTATAAATATTGTATCAGTCAGCTGACTGACCTGTCATCGCTAATTAAAACAATGATTTGTCTTTGTGCAGATGCATTCTAGTTCTGAAACAGTAATGCTTCTACATTGGCATCTCTCTCCTTTTAAAGAATAGTAGGAATTAATTTCAGTTAGGAGTATAAACGTCCCTCTTGAAAGCCAGAAAAAAAAGGGGGCAGGGGGTTGAGTTCTTAAGGAATAACATACCTTAACCTGTACCTGATAACGCTTTAATTCCAGTAAAGGTTTCTGATTAGAGCTGGTCAGAGAAAAGTAACATTTTTGTCAATTTGCCAATGTATTGAAATTAAAACATTTCATGGAGATGGTTTGATTTTTGACTACATTCCACCAGAAACAATCCTGTACACCTGGCTAGCTGCCAAGGAGACTGGAAGTGCTAGGAGTCCCAGTTCCCAAGCTCTCTGCAAACTGTTAGTTCACAGCAAATGAAACTGTCCCACAAACATACTATACCCCCAATTCAGCTTACCTTGCTTTTAGTACTGATTTCACTGCTTTGGGAGCTGCTGCTGCTGTGTCGTTTTTTCCCTTTTCTGAACATTTTTTCACCATAATTGGATCAAAGAAAATGCTAAAGGAAGGAGAATTAAAAATAAAACCTGTCACATTACACCATTAAGAGTAACAAGGAGTCTGGTGGCACCTTAAAGACTAACAGATTTATTTGGGCATAAGCTTTCGTGAGTTAAAACCTCACTTCTTCGGATACAACAGACTAACACGGCTACCCCCCTGATACTTGATACCATGAAGAGTAGGAGTCCCTGTCAAAAAACATGCTGGGCTTTGTGTGTAAAGTGGAGAATGGTCTCTCTGTGTCCCCCTGAGTTTAAATCTCCCTCCGCAGCGCCTCTGCCTTTGGTCTCTGCTCCACCACGTGCTCCTCTTCCCCCATCCCCCAACCTCACTCCTCTACCACTGCCTTTCTCTCTCTCTCTCTCTTTTAATCCCTTCCCGCACGTGCTCATCCCACTCCTGCTGCTGCCAAACCTCAATTGTATTTTCTAAAGTCTAGCATAAAACCCCATTGGTTACCCTTTTTCTCTCTAACACACCTCACATTTTACATTTACACCACTGTGACATATTTTTACCTAGAGTTGTTGGTTATTTAACACATTTTACCCATAACTGTTAGTTGGTTATATGCTGCTGTGACACACCTTTTACATAGGAACTGTTAGCTACCTGTTAACACTGAAGTATAAATGTAATTGGTTACCAACTGTATTGTACCCCACTATTGAAACCCCCATCCTATTTACTAAAAGAAACCCCTCCCCCATTGTCTACCTTAACAAACCCCGTACCCCTTACTATTGAATTTTCCCTGTTTTTTTTGCATTTTCTTAATAAAGTTTATTTTGCACCCCACCAGTGCAGTAGTTGTCTCCCAAGATCCCCTACTTGCTGGCAGGGTCACTGACAACACTACTTACAGTAACTTGCTTTAGACCTAAATAATTTCACTAACTGTTCATTTGTGTTTAGTAAATTTCGGCAGGAAAAAAGTCCTTCACATTTCTAAATGGGGGGAGGGATAGCTCAGTGGTTTGAGCATTAGTCACCTAAACCCAGGGTTGGGAGTTCAATCCTTGAGGGGGGCACTTAGGGATCTGGGGCAAAAATCAGTACTTGGTCCTGCTAGTGAAGGCAGGGGACTGGACTTGATGACCTTTCAGGGCCCCTCCCAGCTCTATGAGATAGGTATAGCTCTATTAAAAAAAAATGCATTTTTCACACCCCTGAGCAAGGTTAACTTTATAGTGTAAACCTGGCTTTAGGGAAAAAAAGTGTATCTAGCTGGCTGCTTATATGTAAATTTACTATTGTATAACTCACAATGGATCTCTTCTCACCCGTTTGAACTGAATGCTAATGAGGACTGTAAAAACTTGATAGAAAAGTAACAGATAGGGTTCTGACCTCCTCTTTGCTTCTATCTTGAGGTGCATATTAAAGATTTGCTCTAATATATTTGGGGGTCAAAGAAGACACACTGTCATCCTTCACCCAGGAAGTAAATGGACAATGAATTTTAATTCATGAAAGGGGGGTTTCAATGAGGCTTGACTGAAAACAGTGGAAAGAACTTTGTGTGAGATAAATTTCCTTAGACAGGAGGTTAACTTGTTAGTTAAGTTTAGTCTCCAGAAAATCTATGATTTTCTTTTACATGTAGCCATTTGTTTCCATAGTCTTATTCACTGTCATTGAATCTCTGATCTTTGATAATAGATATATTTATAGTGAAAACAAGAATAAGTTTAAGTGACCTTACTTAGTGAACTACCATAGTGTTCAGGAAAGAGAAAGCTCTCCACCTCATGTACCATTTCAGTTCTTTGCACATCCAACCCAATTTGATAATATTTTATTACCCACAGTGAAGGATGGAGTAGGCATAGAAAGATTAGATTTTTATTGGTAAATGTTGATAAATGTCAATTTCACCACGCACACACACACAAATGGACAAAAACTATTTCCATCAATAACTGCAATTTACAAAGTAAGACAAATGCTACTTCAGAACTTATTAGAGTTTGATTTAAGGATATTTACTTTGTATATTTTGACACGTAATGCTGACAATTTGTATCAATGGCTGTAAAGCTTTAACTTTCTGAATCTCAATGTCTACTGTCATTAATTACTGACTGACGACTCCATAGTCTGACACCCCCCATGTTTCCCCCCCCCTTGTGAAAACTTAAATAAAAATAGGGGGAAAAAGCTTAAAACACAATTTTGTGCAAAATTTTAATTGATAAAAATCTTTAAAATGCTTACAATAAACATCAACACTACCCATCTAAATTATAAACGAACAAATACCAAATTTTGCCAAACCTAGATATGAGTGGCTGGAATTTGGCACAAAGAGACAAAACCTCAGGCCCTGCTCATGAACAGCACAAAAAGCAGTTACCAGGTGCACCTGAGAGCCTATGGGGGCTTCAGTCACTTCTGTCTGTCTAGGTATTTACATGGTGCTCACTGTCAAGGTATCTGACTCCAGACTGGCTCCTTAAGAAACAAGAAAATGGGGAACTCACACCCCAGGGCTGGGGTCCCCACACCCCCATCCTGCCTCGGACCCACCCACCCCGTCCTGTCACGGGCCCCTCCACCCCAGGCACATCCCAGCACTGGGATCCCCCCAGCCCCACCCCCGTCCTGTCATGGATCCCTCCACCCCAGGCACGTCCCAACACTGGGATCCCCCCAGCCCCACCCCCGTCCTGTCATGGATCCCTCCACCTCAGGGACCTCCCAGCGCTGAAGTCCTCTCATCCCCATCCCGTCTCAGGACCCGGCGCCACCCGGAACGAGGATGGGGCCGCGCCGGCAGGCAAGGTACGCGCTCCTCACCGCAGCGGCTGGGTTCGGTACCCGCCGGGGACTCGCCTTCCGCCCAGGACCCAGCACGGCTCCTCCACACTCCCTACCCCGGGAACGCGCGTCTGTCGGGCCCCGCCCGCGCGCAGGCGCCGGGACAGGAAGTGTGGGCGGCCCGGCTCCCCGGAAGCGGAGGGCGGAAGGTGTTCGTGGGCGGACCGGAAGTCGAGGCCGGGTGCTGGCGAGGGACACACCGAGTCGCCGGTTGTTTGGCATCGCTGCGCTCGCTCCTCCCTTTCCGGGATGTCGGCGAAGAGAAAAGCCGAGGCCATGATCCCGGCCGAGGAGAGCGACCAGCTGCTGATCCGGCCCCTGTGAGTGACAGCGGACGGCGGAGCAGCAGGGCGCTGGCGGGGGAAGGGGGGTAGCGGGAGGCGGGAACATGGGGCAGCCGGCGGCGGAGGAGAGTAGCAGGGGGCTGGGGCACTGGCCGGGGAGGGGGAGCGGCAGGAGGGAGCTGGGGCGCTTGGGGGACAGCGGGAGGCGGAGACATGGAGCAGTTGGAGGCTGGAGCACTGGAGTCCCTTCAAACATCACTTGCATCAACATGGTGTCGCAGACCTTAAGTTTGTGGCACAGCATTAATGTCGTGTTAGTGTGTCTGCCGTGACTGTCAGAACATGGGGCAGACCCCCCCCCTTCCCACCCTCGCTGGTATGTTCTAGAATTAGTTTTCGCCAGGCCAGTGACAAATGTGAACTCCTGGATCACTCTACCAGTCTTACTATAGAATCACAGACATCCCCTTAAACTCTCCAGTCTATCTTGCTACCCAGACAAACTGGACTTAATGCTAAGATGGTTACTTACACCAAACATCACATCACATTTAGGTTACTTCGAGTCCAAAGACACCAGTCACTTACTCCGGATCAGTTAGTATCCTAGACCTTACACAAAGAACTAGTTTGGTAGCCCATTCTATAGTAAACTAACTAAAGGTTTATTATCA